CATAGAAACTTATCTTCGTTGTATAGAATATGGAATTCTATGTTTTTCTTTAACTTCTGTTTTTTTTTTACCTTCCTTGCAAAATTGCTAACATCAGCTATGACAGTTTATGTCAGAATTCCCAGCAGCCAGTACCACAATACCCAGGAAATGCAAAATGCAAGCTTAAATTCTCAATAACTATCGCTGGGTGGTGGTAGCACATGCCTTTAATCCCAGCACTCGGGAGGCAGAGTGCTTGTGTATGCACATACACACACACACACACACACACACACACACACACACACACACAAAGAAATAAATGAAATAAAAATTAAACTCCACAATTACCACATTCTGAAAAGTAAGAGACTTACTTTTATCAATTTAGGAGTTAAGTTTAATATTTTTATGACCAAATATCTCCGTATAATATCATGGAATAGTTTTTAATCCCTTTCCTTTGTTTTCATTTATTCAACATTTCCAAACTACTGTGGAAAATATGGTCATAGAGTAGTAAATTAAAAATAAAATTCTCATTTATAAAAATGTTACTGCAAATTAAAAAAAAAATGCTCAACAGCCAGAGACTGAAAACCACCTCAGAACTCACTGAACTCTGGCTTTCTATGGAAAAATCCTCCACAGACTAAACAGTGATTTTCTGACATTAGGAAAGAATTCCATAGAGATAGTGGCTTGGAGATGTGTTATTTCACACTGGGAACACGTGTCAGATGAGACGTCTCATTTCAAGTGTCCACTCAGTAGCCACATGGGGTGGTGTCTACTTAGAGCTCTTATGGATTCCTGGTATGCTTTACATGTTTAACAAAAACTTGAATGAAAGGGGGCAGAGAAACCAACCCATTCCTCTGCAAGAGTTAGTCCATCCCATTCATGTCAAGCCCAGGGAAGGAGGAACGACAACCTTTATCAGTAGACAGGTATGCAAAGTTGCCATGACACTCACACGTGATCACATTGCCCTTGGCATACAGAAAGAGTCCAGATGCAGCCGCCCTCCTGCGTCTCCAACAGTCACAACAGCCATTCACAGGCCACTCAGCACAACTACAAATCACATTCTCTATGCTACTTTCTAACATCGCTTTAGTCAGGTACAACCCATAATAAGCAGTCTAGGAAGACACCTGTGGTTCCAAGAGTCAGCAGTGCCGCCATGGCTCTAGTGTTGAGGACGGGAACTAGAAATCGGGGCTGATAAACTCAAGGTGACCAGCTTTTATTGTGTTCTGCCTATGGCAGGCACTCCATCTTTAGCCATTGTGTGCAGCAGCAGGTATCATTAGGATGCTCTTAACAAAGAGTGTCTCCATGGAACCTGTCCTTCCCTTCTTTCCCCAGCCCTGCCCCTCATTTGCATCTTGGCCTTCTCTCCTCTCTTTCATGTGACACATGGCCTCATCCCTCAGCCAGCTCCTCTCTTGACACTCTCCTTGACCCTTTTATAGCTTTTTAGGCTTTAACCACACAGCTAACAATTTATAGATGAGCATGTACACGTTACACTATTACAAGATCTGCAGATGAGAATGAATGTAACAGTTTTTTACTCTGAGCCAAATTTTTCCTGTTCCCCCTCCCCACACACACACTCACACACACACACACTACTGAGGAATACCTCAAAGGGCTCTGTGCATATTAGGTGAGCATCCACAGCTGAGCTTTATCCCCAACATGCCAAGCATTCTCCCCTAACATTATCTCCCAAAACCCCCATCACCCTGAAAAACTAATATCATTATACCCATTTTATGAACCAGAACTGATTTTCAGAGCAATCAGATGATTTGTATTGTGTCACAAATACACAGTGGAGTCTAGAATCCAATCAGAATCTGTAATTCTGGCGTCTGCAAGGTTGTGGCCGTAGGATCAAGAGTATGAGACAACCCTCACAATATAGTGACCTTAAGGCTAGCCTGAGCTACATGACACCCATATGCTAGGCTACAGGAAACACATCATCAAACCAAAAGTTACTCCAGAAATAGAAAACTAACCTTTGGGTGTCCGGGGTCAGTACTAGCTTCTGAGCCGTTCATCTTGCTTGGTGTCGAGAGATCGAGCCCTTTAGAACTGACACAAGGAAAGCAGAAAGCAGCTGCAACTGCAGCTTTGTTCCTTGCTTAAAGCTGAAATTTCCTAGAACAGAGATGAAAACAGTCAGCTGAAGCTGGATATCCCATTGAGAGGCTTGCACAGCCATGCGTCTGTATACATGCCGAAAGCAACTAGCAGACAGTGTTCAAAGTTCTCACACTTGTACCTGTGCCCAAAACAAAAACTCACCACACGTCTCTACTTGCCAAGTCCTCAATACTTATTCCTGTGTGCTGAAGATGATGTACCTCGCGGTGGCTGGCAGTCCTGCCAGATGCTGCTCACAGCTGGAGAGGTCTGTCTGGTCAGCAGCAGCCCAGGCAAACCACATGCTCTCCTCCTACTCACCTTTCTCCCTGGAGGTTTACTCACTTCCTGGGGCCTCCACCCAACCTATAAAAAGTCCAGGCCCAGAAATTAATATCATCAAACATAAAAATCTTGTCTCCTGCTCATTAAGCAGGAGCTCCGATTACCTCACTATCCTGCACGATCGGGAAAGCAGTGTGGACCTTTCCATAATTGTGTGTTAGATGTGTTTATTTATTTTCGTTCTCACTAGCCCTAACACCTGATCTGTCATCACTGTGATTTCGCTCAAGCCGTCAGTTCTGCTGTGCAGAGTGTGAGACTCCCGTGGGGAGTTGTTCCACCCACAATCTTGCTTCTCCCAGCTGAGCCAACCTGCTACCCCAGCACCCACATCCACTCCAGCACCATCCGCAGAGCAGGAGAACACTGAAGAATACCTCCCTCGTCTGGATGTCCCTGTGAGGATTCAACTTAGGAAGGAATGGTCACAGGTACTGGTATTTGGGCTGCACAGCCAATGAGACTACCTGTTTGTCCTTCCTTCAGAAGTAAGCCCTATTGGAGAGAGGCCCTGTGGCACAGGCCTTTAACCCTAGCACTCTGCGGGTGGAGGGTGGAGGCAGGAGAATCTTCGTGAATTCAATTGAGGCCAGTCTTGTCTGTATAATGAGTGCTACCCCAGCCCGGGCTACGTGTGAGACTCTGTCTCAACAAAACAAAAGCAAACAGAGGAAACCTAATGGACTGAATAAGTAGTACATGCATGAAGTGTAACGGTGCAGTATCATATTACCAAAAGCCGAAACAGACCAAGGATATTGGAAAATGATTTCTTTTCAGGACTTTGATGTAGCTCAGTAGAAGAGCATACATACAGTATGTCCAACACCCTTAGTTCAAACTCCAGCACTGGGAAAAGAAAGTTCATTAGAAAATAGTTTCTCAGACTATCGTGGTTTTCAATGTCTATAATCTCAGTACTCGGGGGGGGGGGTATGTGCGCGCACACATGTGTGGCAGGATGACTATTACAAGTTCAAAGTCAGACCGGACTACATAGTGAGTTCAAAGCCAGTCTAGGCTACTTAGAAAGACTCAGTTTCAAACAACCAAAATAAATGAAAGAAAGAAGAGAAAGGAAGAAAGAATAGATGGGGAAAGGGGGAGAGGTAGGTAGGGGAAGAGATGGGGCTGGAAAGGGAGGTGGAAGAAGGGAGAGGGAAACAAGGAATGTCTTCTTTTCTAAGGACATCTGTAACACACATTATCAAGACTGTAATCATCCCTTAAACTTGAAGATCTCGATCAGTATGAAGGCATTCTAGAAGAGGAAAAATGACCTCCCAAAGCCCTCTGCCAAGTAAAAAATACATTAGAACCAGAGGATAACTTGCAGCGGTCAGTTCTCTCCTTCTACCTGTGGGATCCCAGGGATCAAACTTGGGTGGTCATGTTTGCCAGCAAGAATCTTTATCCAGAAATCCATCTCTGTGACCCCTTTCTTCTTTGGTAACCTCTCCCTTTTTATTATTCAGGAACTCGGTGGAACTAGCCAATGGACCTTGGTACAATACTGCCCCCAGCACCTCAACCAATATCCCCTTAACTTTTCAATCAAGTATCTCATCTACCACATCCAGTTGTTGTTGTTGTTGTTTGAGACAGGGTTTCTCTGTAGCTTTGAAGCCTGTCCTAGAACTAGCTCTTGTAGACCAGGCTGGCCTTGAACTCACAAAGATCCGACTGCCTCTGCCTCCCGAGTGCTGGAATTAAAGGCGTGTGCCACCACTGCCCGGCCTACCACATCTATTTTTATGGTGTAATTAATGGTGATGTGTGGGTTAAAAGGGGAGGTTAAACCCAAAGGGGTGGACAAAAAGGACACAGAAACGATGACATGAAAGATATGTTTCCTCTGGTCACCAGCATTAGGATACCTGGGTGAGATGCTCAGGGAGGAAGGGAGGCGCAAAATATCTCTGTTCAAAGAGCCATGCTGATGCATGTTGTGAAGTCCTGGACTACTCTGTTCATGTAGAGCTCGAGCTCAGTAATAAAGTCCACAGGTTCATCATCATAGAACACCGGACAAGAGCACACTTACTCATCTCATCTCCATTTCTGTCTGACGGCTGCAGAATTGGCATCCATAAGTTACTTCTAAAATAGTATGCACTGCAATAATAAAGCATGCCAATGTATTATCCTCAAATATTCCTTGAACTGTGGGGGAGGGGGAGTACAAAAAGTCTTCAGTTTGAGAATAGTGTAGAAGAGAATATTGATAAATGCCATTTGCTAACTAAGGAGAGGATGTAATAGCATCTTAGAGAAGGAAAGATAGCATGCTTCAAGCATGCGGATTTGCTAAAAACTCATTAGGGATATTCCATCCAAAAAAAGAACAAAACAAAAAATTAACTAAATTAAATTCCTACCTGGATTATGATAACTCAAAATATTCCCTCTGTTGACCTCATTCCATGACTCACTTTTCAAAAACTACTTTTTAAAAGTCATTACTGAAACAAAGGGGGGCTCTCTTAACTTTTGGAGACCTGGAGAATGCTTACAGTATTACATAGGTTCTGTTTTAGTGTCAAATGTAAGATCCAGTAATACAAGGAGCTAAAATACTCCGAGAAAGGCTCTTCAGAGTCGTGTGAGATTTCTGTGCCAATAAGGATCCCAGGGGTTTGCTGATAGAGGTCCCTGAAAGACATTAGTGCACAGCCTGAGAATGTGGGACACGGGAGACCACAGAGGGGTGAAAGCTCCACCCGCGGCTGAGACAGCGGCGGATGCTCTTGACCGGGCTGCCACGGTTTCATGTGGCCTAGCTAATGCTCTTCTGAAAGGAAAAGCTTATCTTGTATGAAAATCAATAAAAGACATTTGTCATACCTCAGAAGCAGTTTCACAATCTCCTCGCACCTCCCTTTTGCACATTGCCACCATGTGTAAGACAGACAGCTACAAATATAAGGTCAATATAAATATAAAGTAAAACCAACATTAGCATCGCCTCCACTTCATCAGATTCCTCTCCCAACATCATCATCTTGCCCTCGCCTAAGTCTTCCTGGTAGGCTAACGGACCAAGAAATAGCCGGGACTACAGACGCAACCCTGAGATCTTGAGAAGAAAGTGTCCGTTTCTCACCTGCATTTCATCTGTTTACTTGTGAAATAATGTTTTTATTTCAGAATTCTTTACAACGTATTTTGACCATATCCATACCCTCCCAACCACCTCAAGACCTCACTACCCACTCATCTTTATGTTCTTTTTTTTTTTTTTTTTTTTTTTTGTAGCCTCTTAAGTCTAGATTCTCCCAGATGTAGATCCTGTCCCAGAGTCTGTTTGATCTACTAGGGATCACACCCTTAAAGAAAACTGACACTTCCTGTCCTGGCAGCCATCAAATGACGACTCACCTGTATTTCTCAACCTCCTCTGTGTCTTTCTCATTGGAAAATACAGAACTGAACTCTCTCCAGTTTGTGATGACACCAGAAAAGTAAATGAATTCATTTATTTTGTCTGCTATGTGGGTTTTGGTGCTTGTTGTCATGAAATACTGTAAACTACTCTGATCCTGGAAGCCAAAATCTCCCAAAGAAAGTACACATTAGATTAAATAATGATACTGATATCCTGCAATGATTTTACATAAGATCCTTAACACAAATTGGTATGGGCAAAATTTTTAAAGAAACTAACCTTTTCCCCATAGCCAAGCTCTTGATAAATTGCATGAAGAAAACCTATGCACTTGCATAGGCAGAATGGAAAAGAACCTCTGGACACAGTAGCAGCCAATCTGACAGAAACTCACTCTGGAAACAAGTGCCTAGATAGGCATAACCTGCATAGCATCTGACCTCACCTCCAGCCTCTGGGGATAAATAATACCTGGAACTTCAGCCTCTGCTGGTGGTGAACGTGGCTCTCTTCACTCTTAGCACGTATCTCACGGTTACTCAAACACTTTTGACTCTGCACCTTGGTTAATCCAGTTCTCAAACCTGTCTGAGATCTTGCCTCTGTGGTGTGGCCCTTACCACCCTCTAAGGCCTTTTTTATTCTGAGTCATTCATCAGCCTCAGAAAGTCCACCTCATCTATCCACCTTCACCGTCCCTTATTCTAAATTCCATTGGATCACATCATGTCATTGGATACTATTGTAGCTTGGTTCAGCTTCTTATAATTGAACATTAAAAAAAATTGCTTACTTAGTAATGGATATCAAAGTATGACCATCTAAGAAGCCAAAGTATCAACACAGATGATGGTTTGGTGATCTCTGGCTTATTATGTACAAAATACTGGAACATTATTTAAAAATGCATGTGGAAAAAGTTCTCCAGAACAACTTGGACTAATACACTTCCATTTGCTGTTTTTATTAAGTCTTTGTAATGTGTTTTGATCATTTTCATTCCTCCCCTTCAACTCTTCCCAAACCTTTACTCTTTACTTACACCTTCTTTCTTCTCTTTTTATACCATTCAAGACCAACTGTGGTCCCAGATATTCTTGGATGTGTAGTCTTGGAGTGTAGCTGGAGCATGTTTGCACACTAGGGACTAAACTCTTAGAGAAAACTATCTTTTCTTCTCCCAGCATCTAACAACTGCCAAATGGCTCTGCGGTTAGGGTTGTAATTGGGGTGCCCAACTTCTTCCTCCATGCTGTCTGGCTTAGACTTATGCAGCCTTGTGCAGAGAGTCACAACCACTGTGAGCTCAGATGTGCGACTTCCCTGGTCTGTCCAGAAGACATTGTTGACTTGTAGTCATCCTCTGCCTTCCAGCCTTACACTCTTTCTGAAATGGTCCCTGAAACATGGGAGTGGTGGGGAAGAGGTGTATATGTTCACCTTAGGGTTGAGCATTCTGAGGTCTCTTATTATCTGCACTTGTTCGGTTATGAGTGTCTGCATTAGTCACCATTCTGTACACAGAAGCAACTAAGATAAGAGTTGGGAGGTACATTGGTCTATGATACAATAAGTCACTAGGAGTTGGTTTAACCCTGTGTGCATTTAGCAGTATACTAAATATGACTACTTTAGTATTTTCATGAGCCGGACATAGTGGATTTTTTTCTGATTGGATGCTGGGTTTTCTTTATTACTACAAGTGTATGGGTATATGTAAATGCATGTGTATATATATAAAATACTTTTGTCTTTGAAAAAAAGTTTTACTATGTAGCTCCAACTGTCATCCATCTTCTGATTCTACTGCATCAGCCTCCCAAGAGCTTAGATTACAAGTGTTTGCCACCACACCCAGTCTCTGACAAATAGTTTTGAGTACTATTTTAAAATGATGTTAAGTGACTTTAGTAACCCTTTACAAAATTGTACAAAAGCAAAAATGAACAAATAAAATGAAAAGAGAAAAAAAAATGACCAATAATGAGGAAAACATGCAAACAAAATTAGGTAAATGCATGGAGGAAAATAAAACAGCAAAAATGTGATTTTTGTGAATTATTGGGAACATTTTAAACAGTGCACAATCTGATGTTAATTATTCTGAATTACAGAGGCTAGATATTTGTGTCTAATATTTGTGTTGCTAATATTTGTGTGTCACATGCAGTATGACTTTTCCAGTTTGCAAGGAATAAAGAACTTTGCATTCCTGTTTGAGAGCTGTGCTCTGTTCTTCTCTCCCCTTTCCTAGTCTACTTTATGTAGCTATAACTGAATACTTAGCTCTGGGTACTGTATGAAGATGGAAACTTTTTACGGTTTGGAGGCTGGGAAGCCTGAGAACTCTGGGAAGTCACCAGCATCTGCCCAGTGTGAAGGATGCTCTGCTGCATCGTCATGTAGCAGAAGGCATGGTGGGCAGCTCAAATCCCTTACTCTTCTGATAAAGCAACGAATGCCATCTTTGAGGCCCTTTTCATGACCTCCTTAGTTCTAATTACTCCCTGGAGGTCCTATCTCCATATACATTAGCATATGAAGCTGGTGGTTAAGTTTGAACACAGGAACTTTGGGGGACATATTCAAATCATTTCACATACATGGGCAGCCCCGTATATGGTGGAGGGTCTGTTGAACTTGTCTATATTGATTTCATGGTCTAAGTTGATGAGAATTGGCCAGGTCTCTTCCTCAAGAGGGTATCAATCTCATCACACATGGTGGTTGTGGGCCACCGTATGGTGGCTGGGAACTGAACTCAGGACCTTTGGAAGAGCGGGTAGTGCTCTTAACCGCTGAGCCATCTCTCCAGCCCCATATTCAAGTCATAGCAGGTCCCAAATCTGTTTCTAGTAGTTTCCTCAAATACTCATGATGATCAGTATGGTGAAGAATCAACTAGGGGCCCCTCTACAGGTACCTGAGCTCTTTTTTGTGTGAGGTTTCCTTGTTTCTGATACTTTGTTCCTATTGCTGAAGACATCACAAATGTTGCTTAGGGGATACAAAGAAATCTTCCGGAACTGGCTGTGTGTTCTCCCATCTGAGAGGCACCCATGTTGCCTTAGATGTTGAGTGGGCCATTGAGGAAGATATTGTCTTAGGTAGGGTTTCTATTGCTGCGACAAAACAGCATGACCAAAAAGCAAGTTGAGGAGGAAGGGGTTTGTTTGGCTTATGCTTCAGCAGTGCTGTAAATCACTTAAGGAAGTCAGGACAGGAACTCAAGCAGAGCAGTATCCTGCAGGCAGGAGCTGATGCAGAGGCCATAGAGGGAAGCAGGTTACTGGCTTGCTCTTCCTGACCTATTCAGCCCACTTTCTTATAGAACCCAGGACACCCTGCCCAGGGATGGCACCACCCACCATGGCTTGGCCCTTCCCCATTGATCACTAAATGAGAAAATGCACTACAACTTGATCTCACGGCGGCATTTCCTTAACTGAAGCTCCTTCCTCTCTGATGACACTATAGCTTGTGACACACAAAACCAGTCAGGATGGATATCAACCAGCTGTGGGACCTGCATAACACAATACTGACATACCAGTCAAGTATGCCCGGTGGTGCAATCGTGGCATGACTGTTCGGGTGGTAACCAATCGCTTTCTGATTGGATTTGATGTATGCTCCACTGGAGGGAATACATGCCTGCTACTGCATGACTGAGGAGCTCACAGACTCTAAGCGGGAATCTACTACTGATGTTTTGCTAAATGGGCCTGTTGCCAAGCTGCCTTCCCACTGTCCGCGTTCGTGCCCTTAAACTACCTGTGCTCCCGGCTTGGAACAGAGAAGCTTCTTTCGGTAAAGGCAGAAGTTAATGAAGAGATTCTTAGCTGATTAAAGTCCTAAGAATAAGTGACTGGTGGTCTCCCTAGGTAACACATCTGTATTATCCCTGCAAATGCCTCAGAAAAATCACATAAGAGAGGGCTGGAAAACTGTGAGAGCTGGAGAATGAGGCTGACTGTTTGGGAACTCATCTGATATCTCATGGTCATTGCAATCATGAACACACAGCTGCTACAGAAACCTACACAGATCTGCACAGGATTGGGACCTTCGGCTTTCCATCATAGATGAGGAAACGTGTTTATGAGGTCTCACCCCTAGCTAAGGTATTACTGGCACTTAATGGTTTCCAGAAAAGGGAGTGTCATTTTTCTTAAGTGTTGTAACCACTGGTAATCTGCCTGTGATCCAGTAAGAACTCCCTACCCATGTTCATACCAACTATTTTAGTTGAACACAGTGGATAAGAACAAAAGCCAATTAAGTAGAAGGAGAACTAGTTGGGAAGGAAAAAAAAGGGTTCAAAAGGAATGGGAGGGAAATAAGAGAAGATATTAGAGGGCAAATATAAACAGTTTACTATGTACACACACACACACACACACACACACATATATGATTTTGTCCAAAATATGTGCTTGGGTATGTGTAATATGTGTGTATGTGTGTGTTGTTGTTGTATGAACATGAAATGGTCCAATGCGATGTGTGTACACTTGTGTACAAGGACATACACTTTGATGCAGAAGCCAGAGGGTGACACTGAGTTTCTTTCTGTACCAGACGTCACCTTACATGCGGTGTATATTTTATATGTATTTATATTTGCAAAGCTTCTTCTGCAGTGCACGATAATTAACACCCATAACTGGTCTAGTGCACAGAATAAGTGACTTCAGTGTGTTCTGCCCTAAACGGACCATCCATACCACACACACACACACACCTCCCAAGCCTCAGGGATCATTGCGGAAGAGGAAGAGGAAAGAATGTAGTGGCGCGGCTGGCTGCCGGATGACTTACAAGGAAACTCTTTTCCTGGAACAATAGGGCGGTTGCACAAGTGAACTCATAGAAGTTGTGACAGCCTGCACCAGGCTTCCGCAAGCTCAAGCCAGAGAAAACCCCAGCACAGAGGAGGCAAAGGTGAGCATAAAGCCCCTCCCTAGCTGAGGAGACATTGGGAACTGATAGCGGCCAGAAAGAGAGGATTAGCTTTCTTTACCGGCGTGGCCCCTAGTAGGTCTAGCATGTTCCAGTGGATAGCTACACACCCAACAGCACATAAGCAGCGCTGACTGGACTGGATGGGTTTGAAAACTCTCTAACGAGGACACCAAGTTGGATGGTAGGAAATGGGGCTAGAATGAATCTGAGAGGAGTGCGGGAAGAGGTTGAATATGATTAACGAATGGGTTATGAAATCCTCAAATAACTAATAGAAGATACTCAAGGTAGAAAGCAAGAATTTCAGTCATTTGCTTTGCCAGTTTAAAATTTCCATCATACCAAATAGCCATCACCCGCACTGTATTTTAAGCTTTCTCTGTCTTTTGGTGTCTGAAAGTCAGCTTGTCATCTTCCTTCACAAGTCCCTTTAAATACACTAGGAGGCCATAAAAACTGCTGAATATTTACTTTGCTTAAAAAACATATCAGCGTTTTCACAGGAAATGTTAACAGCACTGTTCTTTCCATTTGAAAGAATGGTGGCAATTTTTCCTGTAGTGAAACTCGGAGATTTAGGCCCAGCATCCGGCCAACATTTAACTCAAGTCTGCCCTCTAGAGTTCAGTCACTAGAGTGCTTTGACTCCCGTGCTGAGCTGTATTCCTGGAGGGGAGAAGGGGGAGACTAGGATTGGTACGTAAAGACATAAAAGAAAAAAAAAAATGTAAAAGATTGTCATTTTTAATTTTGCACGCTTCTGCATTTCTTAGAAGCATATCAATTACTTCTTTTGCAAGTAACAAACGTTTTCATCTTATAGAGGAAATGTTAACTATAAGTAGAATTTCTCAGACTAGAGAGATGGCTCAGCCGTTAAAGGCTAGGCTCACAACCAAAAATAATTAAAATTCCTTTGTAGCATAGATATTGAAAACCAGGAAATAGATATTGGAGTTCAACTCAAAAACTAGAAAAGCAAAGCAGGCAAGCTGATAGAGAACTCTTACCTCTACTAAGGTTGGGCAACTGCAAGCTAAGCAGACTAAGCCTCTCTTTCCTCCCATTTTATATTCCCTCTAGTGTTAGGATTAAAGGCATGACTCCCTAGGACTGGGATTAAAGGTTTGAACCACTACCACTTGGATTTGTTTCTGCATTGATCTTGTGTAGTCCAGGGTGGCTTTGAACTCACAGAGATCCATCTGATTCTGTCTCCCAAATCCTATCTTTGCCTCTGGTCTTCAGGCAAGATTTATTTACCATTACAATTTTGTTAGCAGAGGCTATTTATTCATTCCCCAGCCACCCAGACCTGAAATAATCACTCAGAAACTATATTAATTAATCACTGCTTGCCAATCACTTAAGCATATTCCTAGCTAGCTCTTATATCTTAAATTAACCCATTTCTATTAATCTGTGTATTGCCACGTGGTTGTGGCTTACTGGCAAGGGCCCAGCACATCTGTCTCCAATGGCGGCTACATGGCATCTCACTGACTTCACCTACTTTCTCCCAGCATTCAGTTTAGTTTTTCCACCTAGCTCTATTCTACCCTATGGGCCAAAGAAGTTTCTTTATTCATTAATCAATAAAAGCAACACATATATAGAAGGACTTCCTACATCACAATATCTCATTCTAAGAGTAATATATGATAACAGCTTGCCTAAAATAGACAGAAATAGAATAAGTTCCTGGACTCTGACTCTTTGTACTAATGCCCATATATATAAATGTGTGTGTGTGTGTGTGTGTGTGTGTGTGTGTGTGTGTGTGTATACCATTATGGAAATGTGAGGAAAAAGTTTATTTATAGAGAACACTGAAGACAAGATAAAGAAATGAGGCCTGGAGCTAGATAGAGGATTCCTTGAGTTAGACTGCTTGCTGCAATGGCATGAAGACCTGAGATTCTTATCTCTAGGGGAAAACAAAACAAAACAAAAAACAATGTATTGCTGCCCAATCCTGTAACCCCAGAGTTGGGATTCAGACAGGAAGATTCCAGGCCCTTGCTAGCCAGCCAGCCTAACCCCAAACAGTGAGCCATGGGTTCAGTGAGGACCCTGTACCAAGGGAGGGAGGGTGAAGAGTGATATAAGACATGATGTCCTCTCTGACTTCCACACATTCTTAAATGGATATGTGCACTGGGAACCACACGTGCATACAAAAATATATACAGTACACACAAAAATATTCCAAGAAAACTTTCTACCTATGTCTAACTTACTGAACCAGTGTAGACAGAAGTTTCTGTCCTGCCCAGTCCCACAGTCATCCAGTCCCAAAGAAACACTCAGAGGCTTATATTAATTACAAACTGTTTGGCCTATTAGTTCAGGCTTATTTCCAACTAGTTCTTACAACTTAAAATTGTGGGACCCTCACCCCTTATTCTCAAAGGGGCAATAAGAAATTTCCTAGCAG